CCCGGTACCGCCCTCCCCCCATGTGGGGTGGGGTGGGTGGCAAGATGAGGGTCACCCTGCCCTGGAGCTGTGCTGCGGCACCATCCCTGCCCCACGTGCAGTCCCCCTACAGGAGCCTCTGCTTGTCACATGTCACCAGCGGCGGCTTCTGACTGGCCCACAATGACATCACCTTATTTCAAAGCTCATCTTCAAGTAGGAGGGGGGTCAGGGATATGGGTCACACCGACTGACACAGAGATGAAGAAGGCAGGAAGGAGACGTCATTGAAACAGTGGCTCTCCAGCTGTAACCTCTTTCCTACTGTCTGCACGCATTTCCCTTAAACAACTCATTTGTCACTTACTGAATGACAAATGCACCTACCCTGAACCTCAGCAGATCCCGGACCCGCAGTCACCAAGCTCAGGTCCCAGAGCAAGAGGCTGTCCTAAGAGGGGGCCCCCAGCCCATCTCCTGGGGTCTCCACACCCCGCAGCAGTAAAAGTCGGTTACTCCTTTAAGCAGCAAACGTAATGCCTTACACCTGCCAGGAAGCCAAAAGCAGCACTCCAGACAGCTTCCTGCGACCGAAGACCCCGAGAGTGCACTGCAGTAACAACCTGGCGTCACCGCGCTCCCTGCTTACCGAGCCACTTTACGCCCACAAACTTCCCCAGAAGGGCCCCCTAAGCTGAGTCAACCACCATGCAAAGGAAGAAGGCAGGGACTGGACCCTTCGGAGCCAAGATCCGCGGAGTCTGGAAAGAGGATGGACCGGGGAAGGTAGGGGAAGGCTGAGGACAATGGGGAGACAGGAGGGGAAAGCACCGGTCGGGGAGAGCTACCAGGAGCTGCCTCCCCTTACCTGTCCCCCAAGTGGGCTTCTTTCGGCTCCAAGAGGGAGGCGCCCCGGCCCGGGCCCACTTCTCGGGCATCTCCTTAGGGACCGTCATGATCCCGGTTTGAGTGGGGGAGGGCGCACTGCTTGTCGGTCCTTGGCCTCAGCGGTGCCGACGGGGCAGCCCCCCAGGGAGGCGCAGGAGCTGCGGCCGTTCACAGG